AGAACAGTGGAAGGGCAAAAACAAACTGAATAAAATGACAGAACCCCCCACCAGGCAAAAACAAAAAGAAAAACAAAACCCCGCAAGAGGACAGCGAACCCCAAGGAACAGAGCCGGCCGCGATGTCGGGAAATACAAGCTGAGCAGCACCCTGCGCCCCTACCAGTGCAAACTGCCTCTTACCTGCCGGTAACAAGGGAGAACAGAACACCCAAGAGCCCAACAGGCGGCCGAAAAACCGAAAGGTAAAACGGACCAGCAGAGGCAGACCCCGAGGAGCCTGTGGAAGGCGGCCCCAAGCCCCAAGGGCAGTACTTACAGGGCACCTAGGGAAGGCAGCCCTAGGCGCATGCAGCCCGAGTACTGAAGATAACTCCTGGCTCTCGCACCCACAAAACTAACACCACACTCAAAGCACAGTGCAGTAGCGACACCGGAGCCAGAGCACACGACCATCGCCTATAGCATCAGCCTCAAGAACTGAGGTGTGGGTAGCCGGTGCGGGGGGTCTGGGGCTCCCCCTTCCCCCTCCCGGGGAGGGGGGAGCTGCGCAGACAGCGGCGCGGCAGTGTGTGACGTCACACTAATTTGCTTGTTTTCGGTTGGGGAGTTCTATCCACTAGTTCGGTATTAGGTAGCAATTTTAACCAGAATAGGGGTTTGTTTTGGGGCGCTTACCTTTCTGGGTGCCTGTTCCGGTCGATGGCAGACATAGAATGCTTCCAACTACACGGGGGCTTCTATAGGCCATTGCTCCCCTTGCCTCTCTGAGGGGGCCCGGTTCTGGCCGTGGTCCCCGGTAGGCCTAAGAACTCCATACACATGACTGATGCCAAAGTCTGACATTAGCATATCAGCCTGGGATAGCTCCGGGGAGCCGACGGGGCTCCCCCCAGAAAACACCAGAAAAGCAAAGAAACGACAACAGGAGAATAAAAACCCCTGACAAAACGTGAAAACTCACCCAAGAAGCTCGCTCGCACACCCAGTCGCATGTAAACAAACCACAACGCCGCCCCATTTTCGTCTGCCGGTTTCCCGGCGTGGATGGGAAACTGGCAGACGAAAATGGCCGCCAGCAGGGGATGTGACTGACACTAAAGATACAAAAACACGCCAGCAAAAGGGGGAAGCAAGCAGACTAGATGGGCGAAAAACGCCGCCCAACAGCAGAAAACCCCAGGCAGGGGCAAACCGCCCCAGAACTGCTAGCAGGCATCCCCCACAGCCCCGGGAACCAGCAACAGAGGCCCCGGGGCAGAGCCATCCTCCAAGCCCTCCGCCCTTAAAGAAAAGCAAGAGTCCCGAAACAACTACGACAGGAAGGACAAAAACAACCCTATCATAGACCAAAGTACACCTATGCAATGACAGGAAAATCTGAAAGGACCGCCAGGAAACTTCATATTGCCGCCGAGACAAAGCATGCAGGTGGGAGACCAACAACGAGGCCACCTGCACCCAATACAAATGGTGATAGACTCAAATCAGAAAGACCAGATGCGAAGACTTGAGAAGAAAAGCGAACCAGCCTCACAACGAGAAGGACCGATCTCCTGAAAGAGACGGAGCCGCGGGAAGACCCTTGGGTTCGGACACTGAGTAAGCAGTGCCAGAAACCAAGGCTGGGCTGGTCACCAAGGGGCCAAGAGGACTACTCTCCGCTGGTAAGTTTTAAAGCGAGCCAGGACATGGAGTAACAGCTGAACTGGGGGGAAGAGGTATAGGTAACCCCACCTTGCCCAGTCCTGCCTGAAGGCATCGACCCTGACAGCTTCGAAGTTGGGGAAGGGCGCCACGTATACTGGGAGACGCCTCGACCCTGCCGACGCAAAGAGATCCACTTCCGGAGGCCCGAACATCCAGCAGAGCAAACAGAATGAGTCCGTGTCAACCATTCATTTCGTGGACACAAGAATGAACCGGGACTGGCCGTCCACCAGGATATTTTGACACCCCCCAAACATGAACCGCCAAGAGAGCCAAACCCCAAGAACTCAGCAGACGAGTCAACCGAAGTGACCAGCCCCAAAGAGCCAAGGACCGCTTCGAACCCCCGCAATTCAGGCAATGAACCACTGGGGAACAGTCCAAATGGAGCCGGACCGTCGATCTGCAAGAGACCCGAATCATCCATGGTGACATCCACACAGCCGCAAACTCCCACATCGTGCTGAGAGCCAGACGGAGGGTTGAAACCCACCGCCCCTGGCCGTCCTGGTGAGCACTGGTCACAAAGCCCCAGCCAAGAAATGACGCATCCGTGAACACATCGAGTGAGGGCTCGGGTAGGTACCGAGGAACTGAACCTCGAAAAACCCAAAGGGAAAGCCAGCGACGCAGCAACTGATGCAAGGCCCCCGGAGGCCGAACCCAGCAGTCGCAAGAGAGGTGGAAGGGACGTTCCCAAAGGAATCAGAACAGCCGACGAAGCCACACCTGACCCAGCGGGTAGACCATCATGGCAAAGTTCAGGCTCCCACACAAACTCTCGAGCAACCACCACATTACCCGAGAGCCCCTCAGAAACAGACAACGGCAGAAACGCAGACAAAGCAGATCAATTGGAGGAAGAGACAAGGAAGCAGCCCGAGCATCCCACGCAAGACCCAGCCAAGACCAAACCTGAGAGGGAACCAGATGGGATTTCCACCAGTTCACCAAGAACCCGAACCCAGCGAGCTGGGAAAGAACCAAATCCCTCGCGAGCAGACACACGGACAGACTGGGAGCCCAAACCAGCCAGTCGTCTAGGTAGACCAGAACTTGAACACCTAACAGATGCAGGCGGGCCACCATGACCAGAGTAACGTGAGTGAAAACGCGAGGCGCCAAGATTCAAGCTGAATGGAAGGCAACGAAAGCGGTAACCTTGATGTCCCACCACAAAACCGAGCCAGTCCCTGAACCGAGGATGAATTGGGATATGCCATTACGTGTCCTGGAGATCCAGAGACACCATCCAAGTGCCCAGCTCCAACAGAACACGGACTTGGGACATAGTAATCATCCGAAAAGAGGGGCAATAAACCGACGGGTTCAGACGAGACAAGTCCAGAATGAACCAGAGGTCCACTCATTCCCGTTTCAGGACCGGAAACAGGCGGGAGATCCAACTGAGACACCCCTGACCTACCACGAGAGAAAGAACCCCAAGCCCCCCGGAGGACCAACAATTCCAACATAGGACGGCAACCAGCTGAAGTCGCCTGCAGATACTGCATCATTGCAGACTCTGCAAACAGAAAAGGACGAAGACCATCTAAAAGCCAAGCAGATTCCAAGGAAAAAGTGAGCACCGGCTGCTGAGATGCGAGGCGAGAAGCAAAAAAAAAAATACAAACTGCATCCCGCAGGAGCGACGTGAACAGCTTCAACAGCGCAGATGACACAAGCGCCACTGAAGGCAACACACCAGACCCTGAGGTGGCCCCATGCTTCTTCACATCCACTGCAAGTCAATCTGAAGACAGCTCAAGGAGGGATAAGAACCGCAGGGCCGAAGCCAGCAGGCCCTGTGTATGCAAGTCTTCCGCAACCAAAGCAGCCAAAAGGGAAAGAACCCGCACATGTAGCTGCATCACACCAACATCCCGCGGAAGGGCAGGGGCGAACAAGCACTCATTGAGATGCTCAAATGCCTCCCCTCCCCCCCCAGGAAAACCTACATCGCCATCTGAGCCTCCGCCACTCAAGCATTCGGAACCGACAGAACATATGTCATGCCTCCAAAGAGAAGAAAGGGCAGTCTGCTAACCAGGACGACTCTGGAACTTCGTAACAAACCCAGTAAGGACACGAAGATCCATACACGAAGGAACGCAGTTCCATAACGAAAGCATAATCCGGGTCGTGCAGGAGGTAAGCGGTAAGGGTGTCTCACACCCACTGGCACTGGACTTGGAAAGCTGGAAACCTCCGGAAAAACAGAACAGAAGAACCTTCGGGGCACGGAACTGAACCCGGGTAGAGGTAGACGCCAAATCCAACTCATACAAGGAGGAGCAAAAGAGAACCCCCACACCCTGTAACACCAAGTCCCGCTCCGAGAGTACAAAAACCCAAGCGGGGTCCAACGGGGCCCAAGGCCCCCAGGTCAACTCCTCCCCCGCCCCCAGGAACCTCATCCCGAGGATTCGGGGCCCAAGCTGTCCTCCACACCCCCTGCCTCCAAAGAAAAGGCAGGAATAGCCAAAAAAGCAGGAACGAAAGGGGCCCACTGATTAGACCCAGAAGCTCCGACAGGGGGACCAGGCTTGAATGCCTCCACCGCCACCCCGGAAGGGGACTCCCCCGAGACTGCCATAGTCTCAACACCAACTAAACCCTGCCCTGACTCTGAAACCCTCAGACGCTTTGGAGCCGGAAGCAAGGGGAGGAGGAACCGGAATGACAACAGAAGGGGGAAGGACAAGGGTGGGAGGACGGAACCAGAGCTGAAGTGACTCCCATCCTCAAGTCCGGGGTCCCTAAAACCAAAACGGGGCAGTTTCAGGGCATCCGGGGAAGCAACTGACCTAGCGCGCTGCAGCAACCTAAACCTAGCATGCAATGCAGCTGCCGCCTACACCCCTCATATCACAATAAGTAGCTGAAACTTGAGGGGAGGGAGGTTTCTGGCTCATGGTCCCCGGTAGGCAAGAACTTTGTACACATTGACTGATGCCAGAGTTGTACATATCCATTCACCCTGGATAGCTCCGGAGGGCTCCCCCCAGAAAATAATATCAGACGTCATACACATATTTAGACATTTAATTTTTGCTTATCTGGATAGGCATGACTAAAATGAAGTTAAATTTGCTATGTATATATGTGATTTCCAGGAATGTAAAGACAAGGAATGAATGACATGGTAAAATTTAGCAAAGGTTGTATAATTTAAATCTTATATTTATAAAGATAGGCAATGCAGCAGGCAAAGACATGTATAACAAAATATTATATCTATTAAAGTATTGCAACAAGACAGAACCCAAATGAACTATACTGTAGAGTACCTGCAATGGTAGTGGCAAACCGTAGATCAACAGCAGAATCTGCAGGCCGAGACACAAAAGTTACCAAGGAGTCGGCGGATGGAAGAATTGCAGATGCAACAGTAGGATTATTTTCTGATACACATAGCAGGCATTCAGCTACAGCCAGAGTCAAAGTGTGGCCCCAAGTCGATGGGTCTATGTGACGAAGTAGAATGTGAACCAGACCTTCCTGGTTAAATACACTAAGAGCTTCATCACTGCATTCACTGAAATGTGAAAGTTCTAAGGTCTGTCACTTATTCATCCAAAACCAAAAGACAGCACACAAACTTATACAGAAATTTATATATTAGAATAAACTGTAGGTACCTGTACATAAATCAATGTGTGTTTACATATTTGTAGGTACAGAAATGGACAAATTTACTGTGGAACCATATCTATATTTAATGTATAATATTTTAAAAGTTCCCACTGGCATTGGTAATATACTTTATTTATGAAGATCCACCTCCTTTTGTTTTTTCTACTCAGTTTCTTAAATCCAGAAAAATAAAATGTCACCATATCATTCTTTCTATTCCTAGTCTAGAAATTACTTCAATATGCTTTTTCCCTAACCTCATATAAATTTCTATACTGAATGGTAATCCACTGTACTAAATTCTTCACAAGGAAGACATCCTGATGAAACACACTTCCTCCAGTTGTATCGCATCCTCAATGGGGTCAAGATCTACCTGCTCCTGCACCTAGGGGTGAGGTTTGTTTTGGTGCTAAGCTCGGTCTACAAACAAGGGGACTGATTATTATGTACCATATACAGTAATACACACTTAGCTCCATGCTGGGTGCTGAGGCATGTACCAGAATGGAAGATCAGACAACAGAGGCATTACATATTACTCCAGACAAAAATTTTGACATGGACATGGACTCAGAAAATAGCAAGTCAGTAATGGAGAATGAGTTTCAGGAAGTTTTAACCAGGGAAGAGAAAAAAAAGAGGAAAAATCAGTGTTCAATGTAATGAAACGCCATTTTCTAGGTGAGCCCCGGAGGCTCACCTATCATCACAAACAAAATCTGTAACCAAAAATATATATGATCATGTACATCCAGAATTTAACAAACAATTCTAGCTAACAGGGATGAGTGTGGGTTATCTGAGTGAGCCCGTCCCTTCCGCCCCCCCACCCCCACCCCCACCACCGACACACTTCCCCCATCCGCCCCACATCCCATACACAGTCTCACTGCTTAAAGGTTAGTAGTTCAACTGTCCATAATTCATATGTAAAAATGTATTTGTTTCATTAATAAACAGAAGCAATAAAACATGTTAATGATTATTAATGTATTGTAATACTTTACACTTAACACGAAAATCAACATATAATGGCATAAAGCTAAGATATAAATTTTTAATATGGGCGGGAGGCTTTGGTCGGTGCTTTGTCAGCGAATTTTTAGTCTCCATGGTGTAGTAGTAAGACACTCGCCTGGCGTTCCGCGAGCGCTATGTCATGGGTTCGTATCCTGGCCGGGGAGGATTTACTGGGCGCAATTCCTTAACTGTAGCCTCTGTTTAACGCAACAGTAAAATGTGTACTTGGATGAAAAAACGATTCTTCGCGGCAGGGGATCGTATTCCAGGGACCTGCCCGAAACGCTACGCGTACTAGTGGCCGTACAAGAATGTAACAACACTTGTATATATCTCAAAAAAAAAAAAAAAAAAAAAAAAAAAAAAAAAAAAATTAACACTGACTTCATAACATTCCTCACTACCTCTCCTTCACTGACTGGACTAGACTGATTTGACTGACTGACTTGACCTGACTTGACGTGGCTCAGGAAGGGAGGAAGGAAGGAAGGAAAGGAGGGAGGGGGAAGTGTTTAGTGTGTGTGTGGGTACCAGATGTGACTCACTTAAGCCTTTCGAAGGAAGGTGGCGTTGGAGGTGTTGCAAGAATTATATTGTTTTCTTATGGCTGTGGAGAGCAAGTTACGAATATTAAATAACACACTATAATATTTGAACAGTAAGTACAGTATTTGGTTTGCTACTTATTCATTTAAATATTTACAAGAAAATAAAATGGGATTTAACAGAACTAGAAGGTGCATATGTTAGTCATCGTACAGCGTGTCAACACCCACATGTTGACACATGTAAGGGTGACGTTTAATGGAGTCTAAAACATGATGGAAGTGCTTAGAAATGCCAGAAAATTGCAGTGATGAGGTTGGCAAACTTTGGTTTGCCAACCTCATCACTTGTTGAGAGACAAGACCTCTCAAAGGAAGACAGAGAAAAGCTGAAAATGAACCTAACTGAAGCAAAACATCTAAATGGGGAAAGAAATGAAGAAAACAATTTTTTTTTTCTACAAAGTGTCAGGGACTGGAAAGCTTGTGAAATGGTACATAAAAACAAGGCAACAAAATCATTAGTGGAAGTGGGAGTAAAGAGCAAAGGGAGAGGGAACATGTTCCTGAAAATTGTATATACAATTGGGCCTTGACTTACAATGCTAATCCGTTCCCCTGAGACGGATCGTAAGTCGAAATATCCTAAGTCGAAGCGATTTTTCTCATAAGAAATAAAGGGAATTGAATTAATCCGTTCCCCACCCTACAAAATATTAACATACAAATACATTTTATACTGAATACAATGTTTTTTTCTAACTACAATATAGTATCAAAGTTTCTCTTACCTTTATAGAGGGCTCTTGATGGCGTATGGAAGATGGTGATGAGGGAGGAGGAGGAGAGTTGTTACTGTTTGGAAGAGGAGTCCCCCTTCCATTATCACATCAGGCAGTGATGTTTTCTCTGGGGTTCTCTCTCTCTCCTACGTTTTGCCTGAATACCACTAGGACCTGGTTGTGGTTCAGTGCTCGTTTGTCTCACTACAAATTTGTCAAGAGACATTTGTTTTTCCCTTTGTTTTAACATTTGTCTGTAATGATGCATCACAGTGTCATTGACTAGGTTAAGGCAATGACCTACTGCAGCTTGATTTGGGCGAGTCGTTTCAGCAAAGGTTTGCAATTCTTCCCATGCTGCACACATTTTCTTAATTGTTGAGGAAGAGACATTCTGTACTCTTGTTTCTGCTCTATGATCATCCTTACATGGGTTTTCATATGTTGAGCCTTACCACTGACTTTCCTGGGACTCATGGCGTGATGTATAATAATTACTTTAATGTTCAAAATGCAAAAAATCTCCACACAAGCGGAATTTCTTATAGGCGCGATCGTCACTAAGCGAGCAGCTGTAGTAAACTGAGGCAGGTCGGCCGTGTGACCGGGAATCATGAGCTCGGTCGACCAGAACATGTACCAACAAATATCGGAAGTTGACGACACCATCGGATGTCGTCACATTTTTCGATGAAATTTACATCGTAACTCGAAATTATCGTAAGTAGGGGCAATCGTATGTCAAGGTGCCACTGAACAGTGGTACCTCAGAATACGAGTGTCCCTGTATACGAGTTTTTCGGAATACGACCAGAATTTCCTTGGAAAATTTACATCGGAATACGAGCATTGCCTCAGAAGACGAGTGTGTTGATACTCGTACAGGCCGACTAGTGTGTGGTGGCACGGCGATCGCGCCTCAGTTTACCAGTGCCTCGCGCTCAGTGACTATCCTGCCTCAATGCTTCACAAGGATTTACAGTTTTTTGTCGGTTTTTTGGCCATTTGAGCATAAAAGTTATTATATATCTCGCCATGGGTCCCAAGAAAGCCAGTGGTAAGGTTCAACCTAAGAAAATAGTTGTGAGTAGAGGATGTCCCTTCTTCATTAAGAAAATGTCTGAAGTATGGGAAGAACTGCAAAGTTTTGTTGAAAAAACTCGCCCAGATAAAGCTGTAGAAGGCCGTTGCATTGATCTTTTAAATAACAATGTGATGTCTTACTACAGACAAGTGTTAAAATGTAGGGAAAAAAACAAGTGTCTTTAGACAGATTCTTAGTAACACAAGCAGGACCTAGTGGTATGCAGGCAAAACATGCCAGAGAATGCACTCCAGAGAGGTCCTCACTGCCTGATGCTATAATGGAAGGGGGCTCCCCTTCCAAACAGTAACACCTCTCCTCCTCCCTCCTCCTCACCATTTTCCATACGCTGCAGTCATCAACAAGGGTAAGTAATAACTTGAACATAGTTTTGTAGTGTAGATTTAGATGAATTAGGTATAAAATTTAGTTTGAAGTGAGGTTTTTGGGTAATCAGGAATGGATTAATTCATTTCCTATTATTGTGTGTCTATGTATGTATTAACACGATGTACTGAACGGGGTGAGAATAGCTTGAGCTACCTCATCCCTTTGTGTGTATTTTACCTCAATAAACTTATTTTAATTTCAATTTCCCGTTATTTCTTATGGGGAAATTAGCTTCGGTTTACGAGTTTTCGGATTACGAGCTGACTCCCTGGAACGGATTAAACTCTTAAACCGAGGTACCCCTATACAGTACCAACATAGATGGAGTGAGGTCAAAAACTTTGGAGTTGCAAGATATAATTCAGCTTAAGGTCCCAGATATTGTCGCATTATCAATGACGAAACTCGTAGGAAATATATTTAATGAAGTCGTATTCCCAAGGGGCTATTCAGTTTGGAGACGTGACAGGAAAACTAGGAAGAGAGGAGGAGTGGCTGTGTTGGTGAAAGAACACCTGAAGGTAAGAGAGTTAATATTTGAAAACCCTCGAAATATTGACATAATGGCATTGCAGATCTGGAATCAGGATGGTAAGCTGATAATTTTAAATGCCTACAGCCCACCAGCAAGCAACACATGGACAAAGGAAGAACTGGATGACAAACGAGAGGGCCTTATAATGATCATGAGAAATATTATTGTACAAGCAGATAAAGATAAATCATGACTGTTGATACTGGAGGACTTAAACTTTAAAGCAATTGACTGGGAGGCCTATGAAGCAAGAACAGAGGACTTTTAGACATGCAGATTTGTAAACTTCATTCTGGAGACATTCTTGTATCAACACGTCAAGCAGGCCACAAGAATGAGGGAAGGAGATGTACCGACTGTACTTGATCTAGTATTCACCAGGAAAGAAGAAGAGATATTTGACATCCAGTACCTTCCTCCTTTGGGAAAGAGTGATCACGTCCTGTTAGACATTAAATATGCTTTAAGATATCATTTAGAAGAAAATGGGGAAATTGAAACAGTTGATAAATTCGATTTCTAGAGAGGTCACTATGGGGAACT